ATATATACAGGGTAGCACTATTTGCAGTCTTAGAATGTAAACCAAAATCAATATAATACTAATATGGGAAATAAATGTGAAATGATTAAAAAGGTGATCGAAAATAAAAACTTGTCAATGCAATTACTTAGATCCTTTCTTGGCGACCAGGAGAAAGAAATCATTTTGCTTTAATAATATAATCAAATTATGTGTCAAATAAAACGAACTCACTAATTTCACTTTTGAAGCAGTTCTAGTTCAATTTTAAACTCTATAATATTAAAAACACTTTCTGTAAATAAGGTGTACTGTTGTAGAATACTTTTACAACAACATCTGAAAGTACCCCACTTTGCATTATTGTCATTTTGAGCCTAAGGTCAAAGTAATGAGACTATTTCTGCACTTAATATCAAATGTAAAGACACCAATCGATATATAGTTTCGTATATATATAGTTTGAAATTCAAGGAGGAAATCACTGGGAGGAGAGCTGCTCTCTCCTTCTGACATTAGGAAGTCCTCAACGGACGACATTCTGGCCCTCATTCGGAAAGCGGAATGTCTTCTGTTCAATTAGGGTCAGTTATGGCACAAAAGATCAATCTGGTCGCAGTGCTCTGCTCCAGTGGGAGCTAGTACCCTGTTTATTTCTATTCTATTCTATAGTTTGAAATTATGTTCTATTTATCTATTAATAGATGACTATTAATCTAGTTGGGTTCATTTCGAGAGCTAGGCTATATGCACAGTTACAGATTTCATACTTCTTTAACTTTAAACTTAATATGATAATAATATGACTAAAAATATCCTAAATGCATTAAATATATTTTCTAATTTGTACTTTATTAAGTAAGACCCGCCAATTGTCCTGCACACAATGAAGACGTAAATTAGAGAGAAATCCTTAAACGACATCTCTACGGTTACATATCCTTTACCGAACACAGTTTTGTTGTCGGTTCGCAATAAATTTGGTGTTGGTTGTTACTTACCAAAATGGAAAGAAAGCGTCTCGGCGCTTATCGGTGAGTAATAATTCCTATTGCATGCAACAATACAAAATATTGTTAGAATTAGTTGGCGGCAGGAATATACAAGTGCAACTATTGCTGCCAACTTAGCCGAAATAATAAATATAGCCAATAAAAAATAGTTGACAAAAAATATGGCTTTAATGCATGCAACAACGTAGAATTTTGTAATTCGTAATTCGTAATTTCTAACAATGGAAGAGGATAAATTATACAGTTTACAACGTTGCGATTTCGGAAACAAAAGTTCCATTTAGTAACAAAATAAACTTTATTATTGTGCGACTGTGAGTTCAGAAATAGTGAGCCAAATATTATACTTCAGTTCATAAAATAAAGGAACAAATTGTAGCAAATTATTCACGATTACGTTTCCTTATAGTTTCTCGGTATAATAATTTTTACTGTAGTGGCATATGCGGTCAAAGATCCTGAATAATAGAGCCAAAGAAAATTATTAGATATAAAAATATTATTAAAATTTAATGGAAATTTTTATTCAACATGTTTATTTGGTTCGTACAACTAAGTTTGCAAATAAAAGAGACCGATGATATATTTATAATAGAATCTAACAATTATGCTAGTCATAGGAAAATGTCATCAATCGATATATCGATCTAGATATCAACAACTTCAAAATGAAATTTATTGTATTTAACCGATAAAGTAATAATCAACTCAATATGACAGAGATTGTAAAATGATAATGTCGTATTACACTAGCAAAATCTGCCCCACAAAATTCACAAAGATAGGGAAAGATAGATTCGTCAATAGATATATAATGCTCCAACACATAAAGTCAGCATTTTAAATAGTTAACTATACAGCAAAAACGTTTAGTAATAGACTAGCAGTAGAGCGAATCAAAAGTGTTAATAATACCACAAATCGCTCACAGAACCCATACCTTGGTGCTTGTGGAACTAATTGTAAAATATACATATAAAAAAATTTTAAATGAATATCATGGCTTACTATCAAGTAGCTAGACTATAAGGAATCGTGAAGTAACTGGTTGCAGAGGGGCGAAGTAAACGAATCTGAACAAGAAGACAGGCACTTACACAATAGGTGAACTAATTGCAATTTTTCCTTAGAAAAATGATGAGTATAGCGTTACGCACTTCGTTACGCATCGTTCACACATAGATGTCGTTGCGCAAAAATCTTTATGAAACTAATCCTAATGGATCCTATGTTTTATTTTTGTAATGGTGAAAACAGAATTAATTTCCATTGTTTTTATCATTATGTTGGCAGAATTTGTAATTCGATTTGGGGCTCATTTGTGTTCTTCCCATGGATAAAGTGTATTAATCCAAGCCCAACTTGCTTTAGTTTTAGGGCTAGGCAAATTTCTAACATGTGTTTTGAGATTATTTGCTCTTACCTACAAAGATTCATTAGAGCATGGTCTTACTTTTGTAAGCTGGAAGTTTAACCTTCTAATAATTCCTCTAATAATTCGTAAGTTATATTTATTTAATTGCATACAATCCTTAAAGCATTTTAAGTTGAAAGTCATAACAAAGTTCGATTATGATAACCTTAATGCATTATTCAAACATAGCTTTCTTTGTTTATCATTTTTTTTTAAGTGAGCAAAAAGAAATTATCCCCTCTCAAGCCACAGAACTGTTCCTGGCCTACAAGTAGCTAGGCTGTTATTTTTCTGCAAACTTTAATCGCAATTTAATTGTCGGAAATTCCAAGTTACTGAAATCGCATAGGATCCATATCTTATTGTTTTGACTAATGATATTCTATGTTTCTAGATACCAGTCTTGAGAACATAATTAGCTGCCTGGGCTCAGTTAGAATGACTATTCTGCAGTTCTGATAGTAACATTTAAGGTTAAAGTCTCTCACATAAACCCATAAAGCCTGTAAACACCAGCTCCGACTTTTTAAGGTGGGAATTCTTCGTATATCAAATTAGCTAGTTATGGTTCATCTATATGAATTTAATGAATTTTATTATTTTAACGTTGTTTTTCGTTAGAAATTTTGTATGTATTACTAAAATTTTTCATTAGTGTGGTTTATGGCAATTAGTGTTAAAAACAATTTTGTAATATATTGTTAAGTTATTATATCGAATAAATCTCGAACACGGAATGATATAAATCGTATACGTGGCAATGCCGTGTTTAAATAATTTAGTCAAATTTTGCTATCTGTCTTGGAAATCTTTATATAATTTAATTGCTATGCAATAAAATTGTTATACAATAGAGTATGGAATTATACCAATAAAGCACTCAAATGGAATATTTTGGAAACATTTGAATATATAGATATATGTTTACAAAATTTTTAAAATTTATTTATAATTTTTTATGTTATTCAGTTATATAAAATGTTATACAATATATTTTTATATTTTAGATTTAACGCACCTTTCTCTGTAAAACTAGAATCAGAACTATATTATTTCCATCTTAAGAAAAATGAAGTGTCATAATAAAATGGTTACGTTTAAATTATCTACAGCACTTTTTTTGATATCATAGCTCGGCATTTCAACAATATTCAGTTCAGTTTTTTACAATATATTTACTGGATACTCTCGTTGTTTGCTGTCTTGAGGATTCAACTTAATTGCTGCACAGTTTCAAAAAATGTAGCGCTAAAGTTTCCACACTAACTTAGCTGTTATTCTACACTCAACATGTTGAGTTCTCCATACCTGGTTTCGTAATTCAAAGTGATACAGTACTTTTTTTTTTGATTCGATCTGACATATGACCACCCTTCCCAAGTAAGTTAAAATAGTTTACATCTACAATGAACATGCCATACATACTGTACTCAGTAGCACAGTATCGTTAGTTTTCTATCTAACCCTATTTATCTATTTTTGATTGGTTTTCAACTAATCCATAACATTGAGATCACCTAATATTTTAAGATTTTCAATAATTATATATATTATTGTGTATATTATATATTATAATATATTGTAAAAATTATCAATATTTTTTAATTTAATATTAATTGTTGGAATGAAATATAAGAAGGAGTAAGTAAGTCGAGGAGTTGAAGTCGTTTTTTAGAGGAGTTAACTGAAGGTTTTGTATATGACATCAACAATTTTTCTTGTGAGGATTTTTTAAAACACAAAGACTGGTTGTGGAGTATAATAAAAATGTAAATATACTTGGCAAAAATAAACAAAACTACAGACAAATTTTCAATGAAAGAAGCGACGCCGATATTTTTAGATTCGTAACCATTTTAGAGAATGAAAGAAGCGACGCCGATATTTTTAGGTATGTAACCATTTTAGAGAATGAAATGAGGTAAATTGTTCCAACTACTACTATAAGAAAAGATAATTCAAACCTAAAATATTCATGTAGGTAAATATAAATCAAATAAAACAACCTAAAAACCATCATGGAAATTTTCAGAGGGGACCCTGTATGTTGAATTATAACTACAAACGAGGTAATTCTTTCTAACTCTTTTAAAAGGAAACAACATGCAAAGGCCATCGCATTCATAGTCGCTTATGAAGAGTTCCAACCTTAAATATTGTTAAAAACTTAACTAAATTAAAACAATCAAAGAGCCGTCAGAGAAACTTTGATAAGAGGCACTGTAAGTTTAGTTGTTACCTGGAAGATAGAAACTTATTTTATTAAATTTTAAAAATTCTATTAAACAAATAATATAACAGCAAAACACCATAAGATCTAAGAACTTATTCGCCACTGGTGTATAAAATAAACAAAAAACTAGATGGGCTCTAATATCGGAAAAAAAATAAAGATATTCAATACTCTTGTATTGAATATAGCATAAATTCCATCTTAATAATAATATAAATTCAACACTTTTTAAAATTTTTACACTTTCAGTAAAAATGTATAACTTCTTTTAATGAAATCAAATGTTATTCAAATTTTTGAAAAAATAGCACACTTTTAGCTTTAAGTTTTGTTATTCTCTGTTATATACATACATCTTTTATTTAAATCAATTATAAATTTTTCGTTTTATCAGATAACCCAAACATATAAATAGTTTTTCTAAAACTCTTCATCTGCGTCAAGACCGTCATCATATTCTTTTTCAGAAGCTTCAATATCTTGTAAATCGAATCCATCTACTACACCAACATTCAGTTCTTCATTGACTTCTGTAACGGTTTCTTTTTGAATAGCAGTAATAAACTCGTCTTCATCTGCTTTCGGATTACTCTCAAAATCTGGTAATGTAATAATCGATTGCATACTGGCGTATATATCTCCAACATCTTCGGCATCTACCTCAAGAACGTCATCATACTCTTTCTCAAAACCTTGTACAACTTCGTCTTCAATATCTTGTAAATCGAATTCGTCTACTACGCCAACATACGGTTCTTTATTGACTTCTGTAACGGTTTCTTTTTGATCAACAGTAATAAATTCACCTTCATCTGTTTTCGGATTACTCTCAAAATCTGGTAATGTAATAATCGATTGCATACTGACGTACATGTCTCCAACATCGTCGTCTGCGCCAAGACCGTCATCATATTCTTTCTCGAAACCTTGTACATCTTCATCTTCAATATCTTGTAAATCGATATCGTTTACTACGCCAACATACGGTTCTTCATTGACTTCTGTAACTGTTTCTTTTTGATCAACAATAATAAATTCACCTTCATCTGCTTTCGTATTACTCTCTAACTCTGTTAATGTATTAACCGCTTGTATACTGATGGATATGTCTTCCCCTGTAATCTGTCCAACATCTTCGACAGGAACTAAAGCCTCAACATTGTTAAAGTTTTCATATGATTCTGACATAACCTCCAATTGAACTAAGCTATTGAATGCTTCTACAGTAGATCTAAGTTCTTCGCCTAGAGTATCAGCACATAGTATAACACCATTCATAGCTTCTGGTACTGCTGGTACATCTGCACCGATATTCTCTTCAAAGGGTATAAGAGGCATATCTAATGGGGAATCTTCTGTTTCTGAATTGAGTAAAGCAGCAGCAGATTGGTAACTTTGTATAAATGCCGATTCCCAAGTAAAATTAGTAGTAGCGTCATGTGAAGTCTCCGGATTTATATTGTTAACATCACGTAATACTAATTCGTTATCAGTGACAGTTGGCTTTTCAGTTGCATAACGAATCACATACTCTCTAACGCGTTTTTCGTACTGTTCCCTATTAGTGTTGAACAGAGATGCAGCTTCTAGATTGAAGGGATCACTTGCATTTGGATTTTTCAAAAGATATGGCAGGAACGTGTCAAAAATAGTTGTCAAACTGTAAATAGGCGTCCACGCCTCGTAAAGTACATTCATACATATTGCTCCCGTTTGTTCGTGAATATTTGGGTGTAAAATCTTATTTTTGAATATGACTATCGGTGGACTTAAAGGATAGCGCCTAGGTAGTATTATCCAAATTTTCCATACTCCGTTATCATACAACGATTCATCAGGTCCTTTAAATATAACCAGTAACTCACGCAAACTAATAATTTTGACCTCATAGTTGCACTCTATAAGCTTTTTAATATCTTGATCGATTCTACGTTTATTTGCAAAATATTCCATTGTGGAGTGGTGTATACAAAACCGACTGCTCAAGAAAATTGGATATATTTTTCGGACTTGAAAATTGAAACTAACTGCAGACAAAATAAAATTTTATGCAGTTGGTGTAAATTTGTTTGTTTGTAAAAGAGCTTGTTAGATTTAACTAAGTTTTTTATAAAGTTACACGAATATATACACAATCTTATTGATATAAAACTTTCGATATTTTCGATTATTGAACGAGTCGAATTGAAGTGTTGAACGAACTTTGCTATAGTAAATTTCCAAACGTCAATCGTTGTCGGTTTTCATTTTGACAATTGTTGACAACAAAGAACATAAAGAAAAGAAACTGAGAGTTACTCGAAAACTTGTGTATAAAATGTTCTGGATTACTCAAAAAATACACAAAATTTTGTGTATTGAGATGAAAATATCACGCAGTACAAAAACAAAACACCTAGTGCTACACAATGGCGCTTAATCATTTTCCCCATCCGGTCACGCTTTTTTGCCCACCCGGTCCCTACTCACCACGATTAATTACGTTTTAACACATTTCACAACTGTAAAAAATTATATATGTCTTCTAAATATATAATGTATAAGTCGCGATTGTGTTTTTTGTTTGGTTTTTCCTCAAATCATACAGACACAAGGGCTTGAACATGCAGTTGCATTCTGCTTTATTAAATTGTAAATTCTACTTTTTTTAATTATTAAATTATAAATAAAATCTTTGTATTAAAAGTTCCTTAATAGTTGTCCAAACTGTGTAACATGCTTCCTTAGAAATTTAAACAACTGACGGTTTTATGATTATTATGATAAAAACGTGAAGTAAATAATCCGAAATGCATATACAGAGATGCAGACGAAGACAACGCTGTAAACATCATCTTCAAATACAACTGATGGAACACTGAAAGAACATCACTTGAAACAATTGTCGGTGAAATAAACGAGAAGATATCAAAACGAAGATGTTGCTATCTGAAAAATATTGGACCGTCCGAGACCGATTCATTACAATCATTCTCAAATGGAAAAAATATGGTCTAGAAAATGGCCAATTTTAAAAAAGAGAAAATCAAGTAGACCTAAGCGAATTCTGGACGCATGCTAACGAAGAAAAACCAGATTTTTTAATGGAAAACTAATATAGGGTCTCTATCCTGAAGTAATCCCGATAAAGTTCCAGAACAGAATAGAAACGGAACATAAGGGGGATTGTTTTTAGTCCGTGGAAACCGGGCATTTTTAAACGTCATCTCCTTAAAAAGAAAAACAAAGTTATGGAAATGAGTGAAAGATCCTATTAGAAATTATTGACTCAACAAACAGGATATTTTATGCTTTAAATGCGTTGCGCAACCTTTATTTAATAAATCAAATTTATTTATAATTTACATTTAATTAAATAGTTTCCTGTTATTTTTTATAACATATTAAACATTTAAAAAATGAAACACTAGTCCTGAACTAGCTATATATATTTACATACGTCAATATAATTATAGTAGTACTGATTTTATATAGCAAATTTAAAATTTTTATATATAATATCAGGTAAAACTGATATCAAAAATCATGCCTATATTTACTCATTGAAATTAAATTAACATATACAATAGATTTTCTAAAAACAATAAATTACACAATTTCTTCTAATTAGAAGATATAGCTTCATGTTAATATGCAAGCACATATGTAGTTAACATTTAGGTTATAAGCCCCACCGATTTTAATATTTGACAATTCTGGTATGGAGACTTTTTTGCAATATTACACAAAGAGGTACAATTATTCAAAACTTCTTCTGAGTTTCTTTTCTTTATCTTCTTTGATATTTTTTTAAGAATAGAGCAACATTGGTCATATTATGAGAGTGGCTCGGGCACTGCATAAGCAAAATTGTTGTTATTTTCAATGCAAAATAAAAAATTCAGAGTGAGAGTGAGAGAAAAAACAATATGTCGGCTCACATTTCGTTATGAGAACCGACGCTATCCGTCGCTTGTCACTTAGGCAAAGCAGTGTTGTCCAGTAATAAATGTTAGAATTTACGCTTTATAGGAGCAAAATACTACAATTTTAATACCTTTTAAAGCAAAAATGTCCGCAAGTACAGCCTATTTTATATCCCGCTAATAATCGAATTCTAACATTTTCCGATTTTAAGGAAAGACGTATAATTTTACAAGTACTGTTAACAATTATTATAAAAAAGTTTAATAATAAATTAACATTTTTACAGCCTCCATGAGTTTTTTCTTTCTGATTATTTTTGATAGTAAATTGAAAGTGAGCATATCTATATTTTCTTTTAAATTTAAGCACATCCAAAAAATACAAAAGTGGTAGTAAAAATACGTAATTGGCAATACTTATCTGACAAGCTACATAATATGCATTTTCGGCATAGGCCAAAAAAACTAATTTTGCCGTGCCCTTGGCATTCCATATAATATGACCCAAATGAAATGAAATGTCATATTAAAAGGCATTATGGCATTTCGTATTTATTGTATTGAAAATTTATCGATAACGCCTTATTTTCAGCACTCTATTCAGGAAAAGGAAAATATCTGCTGAAGAAAGGTTAAAGAATATTATCCACGTTTTTCGGCAATCAGGGTATATCACAGAAAAAGTGCTTACAAGTCAACCATTCAAAGTAGGCAGGGAATGCGATGTAGATACAAATCGCTTGGATGAATGTCAACATCAACTATTGAATAACGTGTCTAGGTGCTTACTAATCATCGATTAACAAATAGGGACTCGCTGATACTGGTTATATTTTATTCAAATCAGCTTAGACCTAATAATTTGTGTCTCAGAAGAGTAAAATTTCATTGGATGACAAAAATACTCAATCTTTTAAAAGAGCAGTATTGTGTTGAAACCCGTCAAATAACGCTTGCTGACTTCTGAAGAATGATGAAATAAGATGTAATAAGATGATAACTGCAGATGAGACTTGGATCAATGTACAATAGAAACAATGGAAACAATTGTGCTTAAAATAAGCTAAATACGAAAAGAACCCATTGGGTTCCTTCACAAGTCAAAGTAGTGTTAACAGGTATTTTCGATTGACGTTGTATTGTGGATTTCAAATTCTTTGTATAGCCAAATGGTATTTATTATTTGAAGGTATTGCAGCATTTACGTAGAGAGATCAGAATTTTGAATATACAATTTTGGGGTTTTTGCAAAAAGATAAAGCACCATCGATCTCTTCATTGATTTTTAGAGACAATTTTGTGAAAAATTCAACTTATTGTTTCACAACCAATGTATTCGCCTGTTTCGCACTGATTTTCCTCAGCTAAAGAGTTCTTTCCGAGAACTTGTTTTGGTACAATTAAGGAGATGGAAACCGAATTGGTGTGTGCTTTAAAGATCATTCTGAAAATCTGTTTTAACCGTGATTCCGTGATGAGAAAAAACGTTGGCTTCAATATACTGTATATTATGTCAAGAGGAAGTACTTTGAAGATTCGATTAAGAAGAATTAATATACGTTGTAAACGATTACACCATATTTCGTTCCATAGTATATTTACCAAAAAGTCAGCACAAAGATGGATATATAAATGGTTCTAGGTTTTTTAAAATAAATAATTCATTTAAATAAAATTCAAATCCTAAAACTACGACCTTCTTATTAAAACCGATAACAGAGTTACTTAAGTTAATATATTAAAATATTCAATTAATTCATACTTCACACATCAACGATTGACTTAAGAATCATCGTTGGGATTATTAAAAATTATGATGAAATAATTGTGGGCGTGTGCAATTGAAGTTCCCATATTTTTTTAAAAGTCCTTGAATATAAAATTTGATTCCTTAATTTAACAAAAAAAATATGAAATTTATTTAGCAAAGATGGAAAACCATACTGAGGGCATAATGCCGATGCCATTGGTGTTCCAAAAAATTAAATCGTAATATATTCAAATTTGTGATATATGGCAAAAATTTAAAATTAAGGGGAGTGGCAGCATACATATTGCGTGTATGATTCTTTACTAAAAGGAAGTTTAAAATTTATTTATTATGACATTTGAGTGGATTTTGCACTTTTTCACAGAACGGCAGACGTCGCACGTGTATGCAAAAAAGGTGCACTTACAAATGCTAATAACCCAATACGGGTCCGCCGTTACGCATTGACATATGTGAGCACATATTTCTATGTAAATAAATCAAACCTACTTATATGAAGGAATTAACAAATTTAAATCAAATCGAATTTTTAACAAAATCAGTTTAATATTTTTAGAAATATACGCGCTAGGTATTTTATTTTCAACTTAAAAATTTGTGTAATTTACGGATCAAACCCGGGGGTATATTTTGGATAAGACTTGGAGGCACACATAGAAAGTAACTGCAAACAGAAAAATGTGCACATATGTCACAAATTATTTTCAATTAATAACAAAAAAATATTCTCTGTAATATTGCGTGGGTTGTATCAGGTTCTCTAGTCTATTCGATAGCATCTTACACATATGTATTAGTTTCCAATAACAAATGTCGTGTTCATATCACAAGTTAAAAAGGTAATAAATAAATAAATTATTACTTGATTGTGTGTTATTTACGCGGGACACACATATATCAGTAACAGCAGTGGGTACGAGGCTTGTTAGTACCCTAGTAACATGTCTGCACATTACTATGTGGTGGTTTCACCTCTGCGCCCAGTGTTGCATCGTAAGGTTGAAAATATTTTTTTAGCGACTATTTGCTTACTAAAGAACGCCAAGATATGAAAAATACATGAAATGCCCTTTTGATTGGGACTTTTTAAAAAAAATTTAATAGAATTTTTTAAGGAAATTTGAGCGCATCCCTAATTATTGCATTTGCTTTGTTAAGAGTTTTGACAATTGGGGTGTTAATGTCAATTTGGAATTTTTTGTCATTTCGGTTGGAATGCTAAAAGGTACACCAAAGTTGTTTGGGTTAGATATCTAATCGAAATTGTGTTTGAAATAATGTCAACCTTATGTACTAACAATTGTTTGAAAATTGACACCACTGATAATGTATGGAGTTTTAATAGCTCTAAAGCAAATAGGGTAACATTTTGCGGTATTGTACAGTATAGTATAGTTAGATGGAATAAAAGTAAGGAATGAAGGTTTTTAATATATGCATCAGCAATTAAAACTAATTTTTATTTCTTTTGTAACATAAGAAAGTCTAACATTTGTT